GAGTATCATTGGTTAGATGTGGAGAATAAAGATAATGAAAAAACCTATCAGCAAATAGTAAGTTTGTCCCAGCTGACAAGTATCCAGTTATTACAGAATGTTGGTTTGACAAATATCTCTTTATAAACACAAGGAAGCCAAGAGTAAATAAGATATTCATGTTAAGTATGGACTAGCACAAACGTACATGAACAGGGCAATAAAATTCCCTAAAGGAAAGGTGGGTATTCACATGTATGTCAAGTGTAACATACACAGGCACATTAATTATGTGAACGCCATGGTCTCCACTGATGAGAGGTTAAAGGTTTGAGAATGTGAATTCTTCTGGTTATACCACTGGCATGTAGCCGAAAGGGTGGTGGACGAGAGCTGGTTTCCACTTGCCCGCTGAGTGACCTTGGAAAGTCCCTGGACCTCTGTGATTATTAGTTTCCTCATTTACCAAAAATAGAAATAACAACATCCTCATTTTAAGGTAGTTGAGTTGGAACTAAATAAAATAAAGTGAAACTCCTTTCAAACTGTTGATAGCTATAGAAATATAGGTTATTGTTATTATGATAGCTGTTGTAAATATTATCATCGAAAGTAGCACTATTCAATCTGAAGAGCTCGTCATGCTTATTTTAAATCATTTGTCTGTATTCACTGACTTCAATCCATTGATGATAAATACTAGAAATAAAATAAAAACAAAGTCTTATTTTCAATGTTACAAATAATCTTCATTTTATTTTTTAAAACCTAATTTTATTTAGGGTTTACTATTATAAGCACTTTGATGTCGTCATTCAGTCCTCGGAAGAATCCTATGAGGTGGGTAGTGTCATATCTTCAACTTACAGGTGAAGAAACTGAGGCACTGAAAAATTAAGTCACTCGGCCAAGAACTCATCTAATAACAATAACAGCAATAATAAGAGCAAATGTTTACATGGTGGCTTCACTGTGCCAGCACCATTCTAAGTGCTTTCTATGCACTAACTAATTCTCCTAGCAAATCTATAAGGCAGCTACCATTACTGTCCTAATTTTACAGATGAGGAAACTGAGGCCCACGGAGGTTAAGTAATTTTCCAGGTCACACAGCTGGAAAGTGGCAGAGCAGAGATTTAATGCCAACAGAGCTTCCTTGCTAATCTAATACTATACTAATTCTCATTTATTGGTGGCATTTATCCAACCCTCTATTGGCCTAAGTGAATTTTCTAGATAAATGTTTATCCAGCCAGACAGAGCTTCCTTGCTAATCTAATGCTATACTAATTTTACAGATGAGGAAACTGAGGCCCACGGAGGTTAAGTAATTTTCCAGGTCACACAGCTGGAAAGTGGCAGAGCAGAGATTTAAAGCCAGACAGAGCTTCCTTGCTAATCTAATGCTATACTAATTCTTATTTATTGGTGGCATTTATCCAGCCCTCTGTTGGCCTAAGTGAATTTTCTAGATAAATGTTTATCCCTTTAATAATCAAATATTACTTCAAACATACTTTTCTCAAATTAATTAACAATTCCCTATCTTTTATGCAAAATACACTGAATACATTGTAACTTTTTCCTGATGGCCTCGGGTTAATGTTATGGCTGTTGTGCTTTATCCATTCTGTCTCTAGTTTTTATTTTAATTTTTATAGGAGGGTTTTTCAGTCTTTCTAGATGAAAGCCAGTTGGCTGCCATTTTGTCACAATGACTCTATCGAGAGCTGTGAAGTTCGAACCTGTCGATTATAACTATTCCTAATGTAAGTTTTAATAAGCTGACTTGATGCCAATGCCATGGACTTGAGTACATGACCTTTCTTATGGCTACTGCAGATTTCAGCTGAGATGAGGGTAAGTTTGACCTCCAGATAAGTATGAGTAATTATTTTACCAAAGGAGAAATCATCTATTTTATTCAGCGCTCATTTTCATGCTTTTTAAATCATCCAACATGTCAGGTATATACACAGGTATGTTAAAAGTTCACTTTCCCATGGAAGACCAAGTCTTTCAAAAATCTAAGACGCATTTCCAAATCCAAACCACAAACCCTGTCCTCAGGCTGACACTTTCTATTACTTTCTATCCCCCTATCCTGCTTATATTTATCTGTTTACTTGTCCCTCTCCCTCAAGTAGAGTGTAAGACGTTTACATGGCATTTCCTATGTACCCACCATAGTTCTATGAAATGAGACTATATTGATTCATGTAACTCCCAACAATTCCATTTTACACATCAGGAAACCGAGGTGCAAAGAGGAAGTAACTTGCCAGAGATCTCATATCCAACAGTGGGGAAGCTGGAATTTGAACCCAGGCAGTTTGGTCAAGAGTCTATATTCTACAGACTTTGCTCTTCTACACCTAAGAACATAAATTCTAAAGGAACAGTGACTTTGTCTTGTTCACTGCTGAATGCCCACGTGCTCAATATTTATGGACTGTCTGAAAACGTCAAGCTCCTCTATGCCTTTTCAAGTGCTCAACTCATTTCAGACTGGACCCATTAAATGGTCAATAAATACTGAGTGAATGAGTCTCTTACCTGTATCAGAACTGATGACATGCACAAAAGTTTGTGATCAAGTGGTATAGTATGATCAAGTATTAGAGTGATGCCCTAGAAATTGCACTTAATTGAATTTAAAGATTGAATTTACCTTTTGTGAGCTGACCATGGACATTTCAGAATTCTAACCTTTAGTGTGTTTTTCTTTCTTTTTTTTTTTTTAAGATTTTATTTTTTTAGGGCAGTTCTAAGTTTACAACAAATTTGACAGAAAGACACAGAGATTTCCTATATACTTCCTGCCCTCACACCTGCATAGCCTCCCCTATTATCAATGTCCCTCACCAGAATGGTACATTTGATACCAAGGATAAACCTACACTGACACATCATAATCACCCAAAAGTCCACAGTTTACCTTAAGGTTCACTCAGTGTACATTCTACAAGTTTGGACAAATGTATAATTACATATATCCATCTTTATAATACCATGGTATTTTCACTGCCCTAAAAATCTGTTCTCTGCCTATTCATTTCTTCCTCACTCCTAACCCCCAGCAACTACTGATCTTTTTACTGTTTCCAGTTTTGCTGTTTCCAGGATGTCATATTGCTGAAATCATATAGTATGTAGCCTTTTCAGATTGGCTTCTTTCACTTAATAATATGCACTTAAGGATCCTCCAAGTCTTTTCACTGTGTCATACTTCATTTCTTTTTAGGACTGAATAATATTCCATTGTCTCGATGTATCACAGTTTATTTATTCATTCACCCATGGAAGGACAGCTTGGCTGTTAGCAGGTATTGGCAGTTGTGAATAAAATTGCTACAAATATCTATGTGAATGTTTCCATTTTTAAACATGTGATAATGAACTAAGTCTAAGGCACTATGCACTTTATATGGATTATGCACATTTGGACTTTAAAGCAATCATATTGGGTAGGTGTTACTATTAGCCCATTATACAGATACATACTCTAATTTGCTATGGGCCCGAGAACTAAAATGCTGGAGCCATGACTTAAACCTATGTACGTATCTCTTGCAAACTGTGATGTACTCTCTCCATTTTCCATTTTAAACTTATGCCATATAATAACGGCTGCCATCATAATTATTATAGCATGAAATATAGATTATAAATTGAAACAGTTTCCAACTATTTGATTTTAAGGGTCTCAAAATCAAAGTAAAACCTGTAAATTCAACATTCAGTTTTTATAAGCAAAAGCTTCATTGGCCAGAGGTCATTTCCAACTTTTCTGTAAGTAATAAGGATGCCGCAAAAAATGAGATTCATCCAGTAAACCAGAATCTGTTGAGCCTCTGCTATATGCATCTGTGATAGATGCAACCACCTTAATGGTAGGTAAAACAAACAGGGTCTCTGCCCTCACAGAGAGAGTCCAGAGGAGGAAGCAGAAAAGTAATCAGGCAATACACAGAGAATGATTGCGGAGTGAGAGCAGAGCAGAAGATGGTGTAAAAAGTAGAGTCCATTGCAGACAGCATGAGCAGCAGGGGAAATTACCACCCATGGGAGAGAATGTAACATGTTCTGGGAACAAATAGTATGGAACTGCTAATGGAAGGCCTAAGGAGTTTGTATTTGAATAATGGGGAATCTTTGCAGAAAGTGAAATGCCCTAATATATTTTTTAGAAAGATCAGTCTAACAATAGTAGGGGAAAAGGATTAGATAGGGCCAGACTGGAATCAGGAAAGCTGGATGAGTGTTGGATTTAACCAGGGGACTGGTGGAAATTGCACTATAGTGCGAATGAAGATGATGATGTGGGAGTTGATTTGACAGCTGTTAATATAGTCTTGATAATTGATGGAAATGCAGAAAAAGAGGTGATGATGTCAAAGATATTACCCAGAATGTGGTTTTGGTAACTTGATAGATGGTGGTGCCCAAGACAGGGTATCCAAGGGCAAGGTGGTCTGGTGGGAGTTGGGGAAGATGGCAGTTTAGGGTTGCACGTGTGTGGAGTTAACTGGCAGTTGGATTTGGGGTCCTGGCACTTAGTGCAGCATGCTAGGCTGTAGCTGGAGGCTTTCCAGTCATCAGCAGTCCTTTGGTGCCTGATGCACGGAAGTGGACAGGCTCTCACCCACGTGGAGCAGAAAAGCATTGGGCTAGTCAGAGTAGCATCATATAAGGAGACGCAGAAAAGCGACGCCCATACAGGGTTTTATGACTGAGTCTCCAGAAATGTGGGAGCAGATTGGAAGAGGGACACTCAGGCTCCATCGTGGATGGTAGTTTCTCACCATCCATTCACCTAACACCAACCCATCTGCTCTGATGAGCCTCAGAGTGGCTCATCTACCCACAAGAGCCTGCACTGTCTGCCCCTGCCTCCTGTCGAGTGAAGCTGACTCTCACGGCTTCGGGGCTCCTCCGCAAGGACCTATGGGCATCTCCCCTGAGACCCTGCCTTAAACCGCGCGCGGGCCCGGAGGAACGCCCGCTCCTGCCCCACTCACCGCGCTGGAGGGAGGGTCCCTCCTTCAGGCCAATCTCTAAATCGTCCTTCTCATCGTCTCTCCTGCTGTCACCTGCTGCTCAGGATAGGAGAGCCGGTCCCGCCCTTCCCCCAGCCCACTCCCGGACCCCTAAACGTCGGAGGCACCACTGCCAGCTGCACCGTTGGTTTTTTTCAATCAAATCCTCCTTTAGGCCACCAACCGGCGCTGGCTGAGCCAA